GGCAGAAGGACGTGATGAATTGGTCACAACCCCCATTCCTGTTCCCCCTGCAATGCTGGGGAAAGGAGAGGTAGAGAAAATAAGGAATGAAGTTGAGCCCAGGCAGAAGAGGGGAGTGGGGGGATGGCATTTTAAAGGTTGGGTTAATTTCTTATTACCATATTCTGATTTCATTGGTATTTAATTTTAATAGTATCTCCAAGTCAAGTTCATGATGGTAATCAGGGAGTGACCTATCCGTGTCCTTATCTCAACATACAAGACTTTCCTTTTATTTTCTCTCTCCTATCCTGATAAGGAGAGGAATAATAGAGTGGCTTTGGTGGGCACATGGCATCCAGGCACAGACAGCTCTCTACACAGTGAAATTTAGATTATTTCATAAAAAGGAATATTCAGAAGTGGTCCATCAAAGTCTTTAATTTTAATCACTTTCAACATTTTATAATAATATTTACCAGCGATATTTTCCAAAAAAAGATGTGGGCACAGCTGTGACTAAATGCTTCATCACAAATGATTTTGGATCCATCATACTTTTTTTTATAGAGAAAAAGATTAACTCAATGCATCAAAACAGGAATAAGCAGTTTGTTGCTGCAACACTGATGTGCACACTGACATAATATTCACTGCTTATATCACTGCCCCTACTTATGAGTCATCAAAAAATTCTCTATTGCATACTAAATACCTCAGCCACACTGTGCTTTGTCTCTCACCTAATATTTGGTGCCTCTGAATAATGTATGTGAACATCAGTAAACACAAAACCCAGGGACTGTTGTATAAATTAAACTAATTTCTGTTAAAATAAAAATTAGGTTTTTTATTGATTGTATTTAATTCCAAGTATACCTTTATTCACAGTTATTTTTAGCTGTATTTAGGGTAGAATAAATCCTATTTTCCAGATAAAATTGTTGTAATTACTGGTGAAAAGACCGTACATTTGTAACAGATGGGATACACATTTTATATACTTTACCTTCTTTGCCAAAAATGCACTCTGCTGATGCATTTAACATGCACTTTCACCTTTTAATTATACAACTATAAGTTGAAAACATAAGTACTCAACTTTAGGATGTATTTTAGTATTCACAAAACAGATGCAAAGATGAGTTGCTATGGAGAAATAATGAAGAAAGTCTTACAATGATACTAAGCAAAACAAAGTATATCAAAGTGTAATTACTATATAACATTTTATTGGTGCGTCCATTAAGAACACTTATGTTCAGTTCATAGGACTGACCATTTGCTATTACTAGATGAATTTCATAGGTTGCATTCAAGTAATTTGATTGTTTCAGCAAAAACTTTTGATAGATGTTTAATGAAAAATAGCAATAGGCAGGTAGGAGAGTTGTTTTTCCTCATAGTAATCAAGTCTTCAATAATCTGTCACTTGACTAAATATCTTTTCTCATTCTTCCCTACATACTTAAGAATTTTGAAAGAAAGGACAGAATGATCAGCTAGTGATTCATAAAAATAGGTGAGGAGGCAAAAATTTCAGTGTAAAAGACATCCAAAATTTCCCCACCACCTGGTGGAGCTCGATGTGCCTTTCAAAGCCACAGCACAGAGACCAGGCTTTTAGTCCATATGGTGACTTTTGAATTCTGATTACAAATGCTGTGTTTCACTAAAGAGATGATTATTAATAGAGGAGCTACTGAGTACACTGAACAGGCTGAATAGATGTGCTGGATGTGAAAACAAACCACTTTTGACCAGTAGACAAAGGGAAGGCAGTCAACATGGATGTTTGGGATTTTAGAAAAGCTTTTGATACTATCTCTCACATGATTTTTATGAATAAAATGTCCAGCATACAGCTAGACATGCACACAACATGATGGGTGAACAACTTGCTAAAGGGTCAGGTTCAAAGACTTATAGTAAATGAGGTAACACCTCTCTGGTGGCCAGTCAATAGAACTAAAAAATTCTAAATTCTAGCTGATAAACCTGCTTGATCTCAACACGTGGCATCTTGAAATATTAACTGAAAAAAGAGAATATTGATAATACATGGCATAAAATTTTAATTTTGCAGTGCTTGTGAGTAATTTTTCCACCTTTTGTGGCAGAAGAATCCGCATAACTTAAATTCCAAAACAGCATTCTGATTGTCCATTTGATGACACTCACATTTGACAGTGGATTGCAGTATCCCATTGGAAAATTTAAGTGCACACACACTTTGCTTGCCTTCTTATGTAGGCACCCTGAGGATAAACAATTAATTAATAGAGAGGATGTTCAAAGGAAGTGCTTTTAAAGTGCTTCTTCCTATTGTAATTCTTTATAGATTATCAATTTGAACCTTTTTTGTACATCATAGAGTTGCACAGTAACCTTCCTTCCTCTTCTCCCGTCACCAGCAAGTAGCACAGCTTTCAAGAGGTAAAATGTTTAAATTGTTCCTAAAAGATAAATAAATCAAAATAAAATAAAGCATCCTTTTAGGTAGACCTTTTGGGGATATATTTTCTGGCTGCCCTGCTTTATCACCTAGGGGAAAACCTAGTTTCTAAAGCTAGTGATGGACTGCTCACCATGAAAATTTTTAAAGTATAAAAAAAAAAAGAAAAAAAGAGAACCATGACACTGAAGTAGATAGATGATCTCAAACCTCTCTGCGATTAACTGGATACAGAAGAAAATGAAATAGCAACCTATGAACACTATTTTTTCAAAGTGATTTATGTTATATTAAACAGCGGGAAAATCCTTTCTAGAAAAATCCTTTGGAGAAAGAACATGTACTCCTATTAGTGTTTGGTACACCACTGCAGCACATAAATATCCAAAGTGGCAAATACAGGACTAGGATTACAGTTTATGAAATTATGCCATAAAATAACTATGTCCTTTAATGCCCAATATGTAGTTGTTTTTATTTCTTTTTTAAAAAAATAAATAAATATTGCAGAATCTCATTCTCTCACCAGATTAAGACCCTGCACTTTTAGGATACTCACAGTAATACCTTCTCAGGTGCAATCAATCAGATGCTGTATTGGATAATATTCATGTTTCCCCTGTCATCAGTCTTTACTGTTTGTAAGCGAGTGCTACAGTGGCATCTTCTGGCATACAGAAGAATTAATTGCCTTCTTGCTGTGAAAGAACATTGCTATTTAAAAGGTAAGTTAAGAAACAAGACTAAAGAACTGAAATAAAAAGCACCTGCTGTTCTTCAATTATTCTGTTTAGAGCAATTGAAATAGTAATGAACGGTGAGAAATTAAAATCCACTTCCTTGCTAAGTGGCCTTTTGGACACAAGAGTCTGTGCGTGAGTCAACTGCTTCTAAGGCTATTAGTATCCCACATAATGACTAATAATTATTTCAGTTGACATAAAATAACAAATGGTAATTAATTAGAAAAAGGAAGGAGCACTAAAAAAGGAAGAAAAAAGGCTCTTACTAGATAGCTCTAACTAGACAAGAAATAATGATTGTTCTCTTTTTGAATCCATATCTAAACACTTTATCTTACATTTTATTACTTACATTTCTTAGAAATTGCTACACAGTAAAATAAGTTAATGTTTATGGATTTGGGGATGATGAGAGTTGTTAATGAACTGAATATTACATTTGAAATTTTACTAGAAAACTACTTTATAACTTCATAAAAATGTTACTGGGCTCACAGCTTTTAATGACAAGCTCTTTAAAATTATATTATATTTTCCTTTTATAGGATATATTCTATGTCATTATGCATCCCATGTCTTGCTAAGTGCATTCAAATAAGTGAATCTTGAGAAGCAGAAGGAGCAGCTTCTTCAGTCTACTCATAAGAGCCTGAAAGGTCACACAGGTTCTGAACACAGGTCGTGAGAAGTTACGTTTTTTCTACAATCTATTGAATTTTTCCTTTATTTGTGGAAGTTGTTAACACCAGTATCAGGTTATCAATCACAGGGCCATTTTTCACAATGGAAAGCTACAGAGATTTTGGTAGTTAGTGACTTTCTCAAAAAATCTAATCTTGAATCTGTCATAAGACTTGCTACAGGAGCACAAGCAACTGAAGTCCTGAATGTACATAAGCAGATCTACAAGAAAACACTTGGTAACTTAGTGCAGAGAGAGCTGTAGAAAAAGTAAGATTTTGCCCTTGACAGGTCAAACTACTGCATGTGTGCAGCAGTGAAGTCAGAGCTGAGTCCGAAGGATTGGCCAGAGAGCTCATGGCTCCTGATGATGTATCTGACACAATAGGAGTGATTAACCTCAGCCTGTCCCCTTGGCCCTACTTCCAAAAGTGATTCCCTCTTGATAAAGACACACCAGTGCCCAGTGTGAAGTTGCAATGGGCTTGTGTGTCCTGTGGGGGTGGCATCTCTGAGGAGAGACTGAGATGCCTCATGCATGACGCAGGCATTTTCAGTGGGATTCAGCAGATCCATCCAGGGCACGGCTTAGCCCCACCAGTCACGACTATGCTGCCCCAGGGAAAATGTATTTTTAAGAGGGCAAAATTCTGCTTATCACTGAGAAGGAGGAAGTGAGTGTGGTGGAAGTGAGAGAAACTGAGAGAAACAACCTTCTGAACACCAAGGTGAGAGAAGGAGAGGGAATAGGTGCTCGAGTCATCACAGCAGAAATTCCCCTGCAGCACCTAGAGAGGAGCTGATTACCACACTGCAGCCTGAGGATGACTTTGTGTTGGAGCAGGTGGATGTGCCCTGGAGGAAGCTTCAGCTTTTGGAGAGGACCCATGCTGGCACAGGCAAGAAAATATGAGGAGAAAAGGCAGAAGAAACGAACTGTTATGAACTGGCTGCAATCTATTCCTTTTCCTTGTTACCCCTGCAACACTCAGTGTCAGAAGGAGGCAAAGGAGCTAGGAATTAAACAGTAACATGGACTGAAATAAAGTGGGTGATGGGGTCAAGCTGTTCGGTTTTTACCATCTGACTCTATTTTAATTGGCAAGAAATTAACTTTCTTTGAGTTGAGTCTTTTCATTTTTGGGACGTTAATTGGTAAGTGATCTTTCTGATTTTATCTTGACACAAGAAAGCTTTTGTCTTATCACACTATTTTTTTATTATTTTTGTTGAGGACAGAGAGTTAGAGAGCAGCTGAGTGTCTATCTGGCAATCAACCAAATCAAACCTGCACATCTATATTAATATATAGCAGAAGCACGTTCAGTTTGCCTCAAGGTTTTGGTCTGTATTAAACAGCATCATTTGTGCTTCAACTATAGTGGCTAGAAGAGATACAGCTCCAGAGGATGGGCAAGGTGGGCAGCAGAGACCACCTTCTCAGCTATATTAATTTGCAAATGATAGTCCACACTCTTAGTTTGCCTGTATTTGAGCTGTGTCTGGGTGTCTTATGTGTCTAAGTCTTGGAACTACTAGAGATAAGCAAATTTTAACCTGGAAACAAACCTATTCAATTTCCTTATTATGTTTCAGTTCATTTAAATATATGAGTAAACATTTTCAGTTATTGAAAACAAAATCCCTGATGTGCACTTTTAATTAGCAAACCCTTAACAAACAAATGTTTTAATAAATCTCAAGATCTTCTGCAAGTCATAATATATGATCAATATTTTTGTCTATAATTAGGTTTTGCTGGACAATTTTATTAGTAAAAAATGAATAGTTCCATTTTTTTTTTTTTTTTTTGCTAATGACTGTGTTTATGCATGTAAGGCAACAAGACAATATGTAGTAAATTATTATTTTGCAGCTATTTAGCTCATATGTAGCTGCTTCCTTTTAGAACAACTCCCACATTCTGGTTTTGCTCCCTGACATTTCAGAAATAGTTTTTTTTAACAGCTAGCTGTCTCCACTCTAGCAACTGACATATTTTCCAAATGTCACTGTTACAATCCATAAGATTCTCTTAAGAATATTATACTTTCTACATCACTATCAGCTTTGCAAGTGCCATAAACTGTGTTTCTCACATCCCAAAGCTGATCACAGGATCCACTCATTGGCCTCAGAGATGCAGACTTACATTTATGAGCATTTCTACTTTAGACTGTGACCGTTGGGGAAAAAAAACTGAGGAAGAGACATGGTAAAGGTGGTGTACAAGGACATCTCTGCATTTCTCTCTTACATCCTTTTCTATTCAGACTTATTCTCATTCAGATGTCTCAATTAAATATTTTCCTAAAAAAAATTCTCTTTCGTAGTTTCTTATTCTTAGACATTTTTTTCATCCTATCCTTGTTCTCAAGGCTACATTTTTGCTTCTCCAGGCAAGGTCTCAGAGATATTTTGGCCCTTAATTAAAATTGCATTGATTGGCCTATGTCCGTAATCCTTAGGGCATTAGTGTTAATAAAATAAAACAAGGGTTTCATGTCCTTTCTAGAAATCTGACCTATCTTTCCATATGGTGTCTCCATGCTGATATCAAGCTAAATCATATGTATGAAAAACATAGCAGCTACTCAGGAGCCCCCAAATTCAGTTTTTGCTGTAAAAGCATTTAACTGGGGATGACTGCAGGCAGCATGAACTTGAGAAAGGAATCCAGATGGGAGAAAAGATCCAGAGATATAATGGGCTAACATAAAAAATGCTAATGACTACATGATTCCACAAAGGATGCTTTAATGAAGTCTGTGTCTATTGAGCTGTGGTGTAACCCTCTCTTTCAGCAACTGGGTACATCAAAATGAAGCAGGAGATTTTCCCTTCCTTAAGCACATCTACTGGCCTTGAGAAGTGTCTGCTTAATGGGGCTCTAAATAGGCAAAATAACAAAAGTTAAGCATGTCTAGCCTCACTGCTACTGGCCAGTATCTGGGAAAGTTGTTCTTGTTAGCCAAACTTTGAAAACCCAACAACTGGAATTTATGTCCAGTTTAATTTATCTAAATATAGGTATCTAGAGTATAAAGTTTAATCAGCCTGAGCTAGCTTCTGCTATAGACACTGGGAACAGAGTTCATACACTCAAAATAAGCCAGTGACAACACACAGAAACACACTCCTGAAATGATCTGCTAAAATCCAGCGTGTCTAAGCAACGGAGTCACACCCCTCCAATTAGGTATCTGCTATAGCTTTTTGCCTTGCAAAATCCTTTCCACACAGCCTTACAAAAACCTTTTCCATATGTTTAATTCTGGAAACTTAAAATCAGTACTAGAGCCTATTATCAGACTAGTTGTAGAAATAAGACATCACATTCCTAAACCAGATTGGAATTATACCTCACCACTTGCTGCCTTCCAGATACATTATTTTACAGAATACAGGTTATTACTGAGCATTTTGAATAGTTTCACCTTTTTTAGGGAACTTCTATATAAGTGTGTGTATGTGTATAAAGATATATTCACACAAGTTTTGCAGATTTTAGGATCTAGATCTTTCTTAGGCTTGTGTCTCCCTTACATATTGTTTCTTGGGGAAAAAAAAAACAAACAAAAATTAATTGATTCTCTTTTATTTAAAAGTTAGCAAATGGTTTGCACATGAATTACTGAGAAGCAGATTAGTCAAGGCATTGGAGTTGTAATCATTAATAGTGGAAGACACAAATATGAAACTAACCTAATTTAAGTCTCTGCACAGGTTGCAAAGGGAGCTCTCAGGAGATCACACACACTTTGATTTTCTAAAAGAATATAATAAAGACTGGAGATGCATGACAGGCCGAAGAGCTACCTTTGGCTACAAATCACCTCTGAGTAAATCAAAGTGCAACGTTTATCATGGTTACAGTCTGTTTAAGAAATACAAAGATAATAGTCTGATATGATTCACAACTTTTAAAAAGGACAGATTCTTTCATAAGTACATTTGAAAAGTGTTTTATAATTCCTTTCTGATTCAGTGAAATAATTCCTTATTCATATAATGGCTATGAAAGTTTTTGGTTGGTGTAGTTTTACATTTATTTTTGTGTTCAAAATCTAAAAGGAGAAACAGGTCAAAAAGATACCAAGACAGTTTAATAACAAAACACACCATGGGATTTACAGACATTCCCAATTCTTTTTTCACCAGTAGCCATTTTCTCCATCACAGATGATGGAAAATAGGAACGACTTCTTCTCCCAGCAAACTAGGGCTTTGAGACAACATGAATTCTGTTTCACAGGTCCTATTAGCTGTATTTGCAAGTATCCCCTCTATTTTTTATTGCAAGAAGTCATTAGTGACAATAAGACTGGAGAACATTGAAAGATAATTAACCCTTATTTAAAAATAAAAATCAATATTAAATCAGAACTAGAATGAATGCAAAAGAACCTAACTTTGGGAAGACACTTTCTAACTAACTTTAGATATCTTTACTTAAGCTACTGAAGCTTGTCCTTTTACAGTCAGTTGAGAGAAATAAGGATTGTAGAGCACAATTGTCATCTTAACAGGCATGCCTAAAGTAGATCTAATGAACAGTGCCCTCATGTGCTTATTCATTTTCAGCGATATGTGTTTATTTCTTTACAGTGACTATAAAAGAAGTCTAAATTTTTTAGCTCATGAAGAAAAATCTTGTCTCTGTGTCTATCGTTATTAAAGTAGAATTGCATCCTAAGGAAAAGAAGAAATACACAGTAAGTTAAAGCTGTCCTCCAATATTCATGATTAGATTTTGGATGGTAACAGGTAGCATTTTTACTGCAAACTTGAAATAGCTAATCTGGCCATTTAAAGGAATTGTTACTAGAATATGATAATAGTTTCAAACTACATAGACGTTAGCTTTATATTTTTCTCTCAGAGAAATAAAACCAGTTAATTTCTACAAAAAGAAAAAAAAGGGCAACTCATTTTGAAGCTTTTGGTCAGTAGAGCAGAAGTAAACTGGAAAAGTAAAAAGAATCATCCAAATTGGATAATAAAAGCTGTCACAGGCAGTATAGCAAATGGAACACCAAGTGAGGTGTGCTCTTCCCCTCCTCCTGACAAAAAAAAAATTAAAACATGGACAGATTTTAAAAGAACACTTCAAAATTATGAAGAATTTCTTATAGAAAGATCCCCTAGGCACAATGAAATCAGTCATAAGGGTAACTGGAGATGAAAGTGACTATTCAGAAATTCTATTCTTTAAAAATGCATTGACTTTTGATGTCTTATTTGAAGTAAAAACTCTCATGTCTTTGAGGATTAGACATCACTACTTAGAGAAAGAAATTGATTTAAAATACAGTTAATTAAAAGGAATGTGTTTTTGCAGCAAAGCACCTGCTAATTTTTGTTTTCTATAAAGGAAAACAATATAAATTTTCATCCAGTGAATTAATGGAAGTATTTGGTAAAACAGTAAAGGTGGTTAGAATACAAGAATCAAGCATTATAAAAAAATTTTGTCTTCATATCTTAATACATTATTATGGAACACACTTCAAAGAACATGTTCACAAATAATGACTATTTATTTATTAATTGAATTATAATCAATGACTAATCACAAATTATTAAAATGTAATAGCGACATTGGTTTGATTAAATATTACATGAATTAAAAGGCTCCAGAAGGAATGGTATTATTATAAGGTAATCCCTTTAAAAATACAATTAGAACTTTTTAACTCCAAATAAACGTATTATGTGGTCTCTCTGGAAAATACAAACTCATATGAAGTCAGTTAAATAATGTCTACTCAGAAAAAAGTCAATCAGAACTAATTTCAAACCTAAAAAATTAGCCTTACTATTTTCCAATTAATCATACTTTGCATAAATTAGCAGTGTATTTTGACTTGATTTCGCATATATCAGATGCACATGCAAAAATAAACAGTCCATAACCTAATATAGAATAGATAAGGAATTTTAATATCTAATACCAAAAAAAAAAAAAAAGATGGTACAGTTATTTTTTTAAGAGTTGTCCCCTTAATGAAATTTTCAAAGATCTTCTCTGTTAATGGGATGAATCATAAAACTTTAAAAGTTTTTTTAGGAGAAAAATAAAGCCCTAAGCTCAGGGCAGGCATTAGTGAAGTGGTTATTCTGGTTATAGTCTATATGCCAGCTGAATGGTCTTAACCATAGCTGTAGAGACTTAGCCTGATTATTGTCCCCTATTCTATCCAAATGATTGCACCAGAGAGAGACACTTACAGCAGATAAAGGCAGGAAACAATGTACTTGAGATACTGGCTCATTTGAGGGGATTGGATAAGTAAGTAACACAAATTCTATGGTATCACATAAACCATTTTCATTCACACTCACATTTTTTCAGTGTTTGTGGAATTAATATGATTAACCATTTCTTGCTTAGCTAGAAAACTGGCATTTAGTGATTGTTCTTGATGCATTTTAAAGAACTGAATTACAGCAAATTTTAACATTATGAATATCAAGAAAAAGTCTGTCTGTATTCTCCATCTCAAAATTTTGTTTATAGCTGGTGGTTTGTCTTTGAGATATGTGTGAAAGATCCTTGTAGAGGAGGAGTGGAAAATGAGGGAACTCACAAAACAATAAGGCAACATAAGGCAAGGCTGATTTCCCTCTTTTGAAACTTATGTAGTGCAAAACCTTCCACACAGAAGGTGTTTTTACTCTTTCTTAAGAGTACCATTCAGAATTAAATCTTGTAGTCCACAGTAGGAAACTTGACAGCTGTCAGGTCAATTTGAACAAGGACTGTATCTGTACTTGTCTTTCTGCATCCCTGCAATTGCTTCTGTGCTTTTTGGCATAAAATTTAGGTTAAATAGGAAATGGTGTATTAATTATTCAATTATTGTGTTACTTGTTGATTGAAAGCTTTGAAGTTTTTACATACCTGGAAAACTGATTACAAGATTTTGGGGTTTTTTGGGTTTTTCCCCCTCTCTCTATCCAAGGAAGTAGCCTGAAGGATGTTCATGTTGGTGAAAAATTAGAAGGAAATGCATAAATCCATGTAGAGGAGTTAAATGGAGCCTTAGTGTTCTTCAGGTTGATAAATTACTCTTTTATTAATCCATTACCGTGTAAAGTGTCTATCTCCACAAAAATACCAACTTTATTCCGATCTATAGCATACCATATAACAACCTGCATGATACCTTGACTACACAATACCATATTCTGTATTTCTCTGATGTTTCCAAAAAGGAGCTCTTGAAGAGCTATAATCTTTATCTATATTTAAAATAATTTCTATATAAATATTATATATAAACTTTTATTTTGTTCTTTTTTTTTTTCCACTCTTTACAGGAGAATCCAGAGCAGAGAAGGTCAAGCTGAAGTATACCCTCTGTCCTCAAGTTTGAGAGGCATAATCAGTAGGCAGAAAGGGTTTTTGGAAGTTTTTGAAAACTAGTAATAAGTAAAAAACCAGAATTTGTTAGCAGGCAGGTGCTGTACAATAGTACTTTTGTAAGGGTGGCACTGGCTACTTTGATTCTACTTCTGTGGTAATAAAAAAGCATGTAGGACATTCTTTATCCTGATACATAACTATGGCACCTATTATCTTATTAATTTTCATTAGGAAATATTATAGAATGGATGAGAAAGCAATAAGCATTAGCACTTTGGGAGAAGTTTGTTTCTTTACTGGTAACTGCAAGTGTAAATATTTATACATTTGTTTAATGAAATAACACATGCAGTATTTCTGGTAACTTCAGAATTAGTGGTATTATTATAAGGTAATTCCCAGCAAAATATAACCCCATGTTATTCATGCAGGTTGTTTGTAATAATTGCACTGCTCTGATGTGCGGTTTTAGATCAGTGAGTGTGCTCATTAAACATGTGATGATAACTTAAAACCTTTGAAAACCAATTGTGTTTCTTTGTTTGTGTGTGATAGCTACTGTCATAAAAATCTTCATGTCAATGTAACATTAATACAAAGCAAAAAAAATATACTGCTGCAAAATATGGTTTTTATATTATCTGACTTTTTTTCTGTCTCTGTGTAAAGTCCTGTAGGAATGTGCTTTTTGTTGACAGAGTAAATAAGTTACTTTTTGTCCCCTTAAAAAAGAAAAAAAGCTTAGAAGTTTCTCTCTTCACTTTGGTTAAAAGACACTTTATAAGACCTTGGGGACTTCACCTCAAATTAAGGATGGCTAATTGAACAGAAGCTAAAATGTCTTGCTTAAGCAATTTACTAAAAAAAGAAAAGCACAAAAGAAGTAATCGCTTTTGTGAAGTGTTTTCCTAGGCAAGCCTCAAGTTTTTGACCATATATGATTTAAACATATAGAACTTTAAAACATTTTTACCATATGATTTAGAGGTAAGTTAATAACTTTTTAACACACTAATAATAACTTAAATAACTTTTGCAGTGCAAACATTTTTTTAAGCAATTTTAACTACTGTAAACTTAGAAAACACAGCCTCTGCTTTCCAGCTGTCAGTCAGTTGTCTGCGTGTTCTTTTTCTCGCAAATTCCCTCAGCAAATTTTACATAGCCTTTCCCCTTATTTGTTTTTTAATTAACAATCCAACCTGACAGCACAGTTTCAATCCATTACTCAGGTTAAATTAATCACTCAAAAGGTACAAATGTTGACTCATGAGAAAATGTGTTAAGAGAGAGAGAGAATGATACTCTTTAAATAAAAAACAAAAATTGAAGTATCTTTTCTTTTTTTCAAATGCATAATATAATTTGCAAAATATGGCTTAAGAAAGTTGTATTGTAACTTTTCTCAGTTTTTACAAGGCATTTTAAGTGGAATGCTTTTGGTTTTTCTCTCACTGCTTCTATTGGCTCTGGCTGAGCTGGAGTTCAATTTCCCATAGCAGCCCTCACAGTGCTGTGTAGTGGTTCCTGGCACCTGTCACCTACCTGATCTACCCACCATAGTGCTTCATGTTGTTATACATTTGGCAACTTTACCTGTTCAAACTTGACTGGCTGGTGAAGGTCTAGGCTTAAGAATTCAAAAGAGGTTTTGGGATTTTTTTTTTTTTTTGGTGGAATTCTTTGGAACTTGTTCATCCTTTGGCTTTGTTTATACTTCAATAATTTATATCCTCACGTATTTTTGTGTCAACACTTGATCATACACACACAAAAATCTTTGAACTTCATATGTGTTGACCATATGTATCTTCTTGCTTAGTATTTACTAATTCTGGAAATGCAAATTTTTCACAGGAATGTACTAAATGCAATAGATCTTTCTCTTCAAAGGATTTTCAGCTCCAGAAAAGACAAGGCTATGACAGAAAAGAGCTCAGATTATGATAGTCTTAATGTGAAAAGGAAGGGTGAAATCCCCTAGCCTCTCAATTAACAATAGCCTTATGAGCATGTTATTGTTAAAAATCATTGTTGCAATATTTAGACCAAGCGTGGTATTCACAGCAAGAACTTTTATTTTTCTTATTCATTTTTAACAGAATTGAGATGTACTGAACTGAGGGAACTATGAACAGTGAAGTCATGTAGCCCTTCCAAAGACACCTAAATAACACCTCACATTAACATTTAGGAGATAGGAAGAATACTCGTGTGTAAATAAAACCTGAAATCCTACTCAGACATAAGGGATGTCTTACTTTACTGAGGTAACAGAATATATATGAGAGTTAAAAAGACTTTAACAGATGGCAAACATCATAATGAAGACTTTACTGCCAGCTTTAAGTAATTTTGGTCCCAGAATATGCCACCAGAATCAGATTTAACAATGAGAAAAGCAACTATACTGAAGTGGGTGAAGGAGCAGAAAGAGGAGAAAGGACATTTGAGACTTGAGAATGAGGTATAATATCAGGTGAGATGTAGACTGGTTTATTTCTGTAGATGTCACAACATAAAGCCTTTTCCAAGGTATTTTACCTCTCCAGCATGATTTGAACAAGAAAATAATAATCTACAGATTAAGAAGCCTGAGAAATAAAAAAATTAGGAGACTTCTTTCTTCAAAGAGGATGAATATCACATGAGATTAAAAAAAAAAAAGTGGGAGACAAGGTTTGCCCATATATATCTTAAGCACAAAGATATCCTCAATATTTGTGCATATTTGAGACCTAGTGAGATCAGGGAGATCACTAGGAGAGCTCTGGCTGCAGTATAGAAGCGTGCATGTTGCATGTTAAAATGAGCAAAGGAAGACAAACAACTGGTAGAGCACTTTTCAGTGAAGCGGTGGTCTTGCTAGAAGTATTATGAGAATTTTGATAGATGGTATTGAGAACCTCAATGGAGTGATATTTGGATTAGCCCTTCCTCACAGAGCTATTTGAAAACAGATTCAAATCAATATGTAGGTGATAAGTATTTGTTGTTATTACTGCTGCATTCTGCAGGGGGTTTCAAAGAGGTAATTCATTGTGACGCATGAAATAGTCCTGTGGGAGCTCCCAGGTTAGAGGAGAATAAAACTAGCAAATGAAGTGTCAAGACTTTATACTACGGTTTATTTTATACATTTAAAGTACACTATCCTTTCTAGTAGCATTTCTTCAAATAACTGCACCTATTTACTGTATTTTAAAAGCACTTTTGAAAGAGCAAACGAGTCAGCACAATTGTAGCACTTTGAAACATTGAATATAATATAATGATTGAATTGTTTGATAGGAAAACTGGATTTTTTTTCAAAATATAACACATTTTAAACATTTTTGTAATGTAAGACTGTCACTTCTGTATTACAAATACCAGATCTCTTCACTGGCCTTCTAAAGCCCAAAGGCTGTCACCACACATTTGTCAGTCTTCAGCACCAAATGAAATAAATTCTTACATCGCTAGCACTGAATGCGGAAATAAGTAATCTTGCACTTCACAAGCTATGTGTACACATAAAATTGGTACAAGTTTGTTTTGGCAAAAGTATATCCCCTCCCTTCCTCTCTGTTCCTTCTGAGTCTGAGTATCAGACACATGTCCAAAAGGCAGTGACACGGCACCAAAATAAAGGTGGATGTTTCTTTATACTTTATTTTTATACAAAGCAATGTAATGAAAGGGGCTGGTTTTGTATCATACTTTGATACTTTATAAGATCATTAATTTATTGCACACAGGATTCTCACCTTTGTGAAAATGTCTGCAGAAGCTACCAAAAAGAGAGCCTGGGCTATGGCTAGGACCTCTAGACTCAACTATGGAAAAAAATATGTAGGAACCCCCATTTATTTCCTGTCTGGTTATGAGAGACAGCAAAATTGTCCAGAAGTAAAAGAATGCAAAAAGTTTTCTTGATAAAGAAAAATAATACTAACTTTATGACTCCATAGAGAAGCTAATGCTCAGGATCAAACATACTGTGATCAACTTGTAGGCTTGCCTGAAATTCAGACATACTTTTCAAGTAGCTGCAAGCAATAGCATCATATTGAATCAAACTCTTCAGATTAAAAGCAAGGAGTTTAAAATCTTACTTAGCTTTTAATTGATACCAGTCACCCAAAGCTAAGAAAATTACACAAAATTATATATGTTGCATAAATATATGTAAAATATAGATATTAAAAATATAAGCCTAAATTCCTATTATGTTTATTTTTTTTTCAACTCTAGTTCCTCACATAAAATCTTAAATTTGAGATGATAATTTTGTTTTCTTACTCAAATATATTGGTTTAAACTTCAAATCTAACTTCAAATTCCCAATGTTCTACTCATATATCACAGTGATGCAATGCAACAAATTTTCAAACACCTGTTTAATTTATGTTAAACATACACTTTAACATATACTTAAACGTACAAGTGATTTCTGGAAAAAAAAAAAAAAAACTCGATCTATATTGTAATAAAATCCTGCAAAATTGAATGTTTTAACTGTTCTGTTGGACAGCCCATATCTGATGCCCCAGAAAAAAGTAGCACTCTTTTGTACACATCTTTCAGTTGTATAGTTTAAAGACAACTTTTAAGTTGGATTCCAAAAAGGAAATACATGACAGCATAAATCCATGAAATCACAACAGCTCATGGAAGGTACTAGTAGCTCAAGATTATGCACAAGTCAAAATATCAGACACTATTGATTCATATTTTTGTTCTATAATACCTTAGAAAAAGTTCAAATGAAAAAGAATTACATGCAAATTTCACTATGCCTAACACATAGCTTATAATTCTAGCAATTTAGAAGATGTAGTATAAAGAGGATATGAAGGCTAATTATAATTCTGACATTTTGAAAAGATTGCACTAAATATATCAATATTAAGAAAATTCTAATGCAGTAGAAGAGAGTGAAATGAAATATACTGTTCTTGAAATTCTTTTGTCACTTAATGCTCTCTTAATAGCTCTAGTCATATTCTAGGACTATTTTACAGTACTTCAATACCACAGTGTGTCATTATCAAATAGATATAAGATATATACAGTATTACAAAGAACATCTGGTTTTAAATATTTGAACTCCTAACTTCTTTCTCCAAAGTTAAACCTCCAAGGGCACTCTAAGGAAGTAAGTCTCCGAACTTTTTTGGATATTGCTCAAAATCCCATCTAGACTTCTAGTAGGACTTGAAAATGTATAGATTAAGTGTCAGTGCAAGAGGATCTTAGGCTGATTCCAAACGGAACTGTTAAGGCATGCCCCAGAATGTTCTGTCACATTTTTCCAGCCATTCAAAAAGAAATGGGAAACTACACGTTCTCATTACACAGCCACATTTTTTAATTGCCTCTTTACTGTCAAGTCAAAAAGGACCTGGGGTTCACATCTAAGCCTGAAAACATGCAACACCCTCAAGTTCAGTGAATATAGATAATGCAAAATACAGGAAAAAAAAACCTTCAAAATGGAGAAATGGAGTTTAGATGAAAAAATTCATATATCACCACCATGTCTGCCTATATCTCTAAAATGGCAAGAGAAATAAGACATGCTGAAAAATGTCCTGATTCAGAGAAGTAGTAACTTTGCTTGTGGTTGGAGTTCTATGCCTATCAAGTGCATAGCCACAGGATTTTTAATGAAAACTATTACAAATATGTTTCAGAGAATAAATAAAACAAAAATAAAATGCAACCAAATAAAACCCCAAACTACATAAAAACAAGACTATAAGGAAAGGAGAAAGATACATAAGAAACAGAAGTGGCATTATTGTTGAGTGCTTTAGTACATTGGTTCCAACAGTTTTCCATGAAATGCAGCTACCTGCACTAAACCTCATGGTTTGCCATAGTTCCATCAAAAATTAGTAGTTTCTCTTTTTAACTGCCAAATATCTTATGTTAATGTAATAACTCAGAGGGACAGGCCACTTTACACCTATTATTTGACTAAAATACTGTGTTAATTCTATATTATGCCAAATGTATTTTAACGTGTGTTACGATAAAACTGATACTCATTGATACCATGCTCACAGAAATCCTATAATTACAGGCCTATTCCTGTAAATCTTGGAGTGCTACACAGACAACTTTTCACATCTTTTCCGAGATAATTCAGTGGCATGTATTAGTGGAAAACATAACAATTCACTCTTTAAATGCATGAAGGAAACAGAATCATGGACTTACGATCTGTAATTTTCAGGACTCTTTTGAATTCTCCACTTCCAGATCCTCCACAACCATCTTCATCATCACAGTCACCACTGATTTGTTCATCTACACCTCCACCACTGCCTGTTTGTTGGAGATCCCATTTGTCATATTTTGGAAATGATTTGCCCTGCAACAGCTGAAGACAAGATATAGTATGCAAGTTAGTAGTACATATGGAAAGCTTCAGTGAGTACCAAATTTCATATATGCCCCTAGTAATTACCTGATTTGAAAAGGAAAATTCAGGATCAACAGAATGAGAATTCTGAGTTTTTAATTTTTTTTTTTTAACCTTGACTTACTGATAGATTTAAAAGGGTGTTTGGAGATGTATAGTTTAGTTTTAATTAAAAACCAAAAAAATGTCCTTATCGCTATATAAGAAAATTTCTTGCCCAGAGGCTAAATGGAATAGATAGATACATAGAATCACAGAAAATTTCGAGTTAGAAGAGACCTTTAAAGACCATCTAGTCCACATTCCCCTGCAATGAGCAGGGACATCCTCAATTAGGCTAGGTTGCTCAGCGCCCCACCCAGCCTGATTTTGAATATTTCCAGGGCTGGGTCATCTTCCACTTTCCTGGGAAACCTGTTCCAGCATCTCATCATCCTCATTACAAAAAACTTCTTCCTTATATGTGGTCTAAATCAAACCTCCTTCAGTTTAAAACCATTGCTCTTGTTTCTACCATAACAGACCCCACTAAAATGTTTCTTGCTCCTTTCTTACAGGCCCACTTAGAGAAGACACCATCTGTGCTACTCAACAGCTGGACCTGGATCTTTTAACCACCCCTGTGGTGTCCAAAGAGACTTAAGATATACTTATTGTTTCATGTGAATTTTTCACATTTGAAATATATGAAGTAGTGTGAGAGCTGTGTTGCAGCTCTATACTGGTGAATCCAAAATATATTTGCCTGCTCTGGGATGTCATATGGAAATGTGGTACAAGCTGAAGGAAAAAAATATGTTGGGATGATATCAAATGGTTGACCAAGGAACAGCAGACCAAACTAGTACATTCAGAGACAGGGCTGAGAAAACTGTGGAGAGAACTATTTCTAAAGGAAATCCAGGCATTATTTAGATAGAAATAATAAAAGTGAGGTAAAATAAAAGCTGATAGCTGATACTGGCCTAAACAGTGAAGATTATTTGGTTCCAGTAAATAAAATTGTTCTCTGGCTCCTTTTTATTTCTCATTATAAAAATGGCCAATGATATCTGCATGGTTTATAAGAAAAGAGTAGAGATCTGTTTAACACATTGCTCCACTCTGTTGAACAGTGCTAGGCAATCATCTGAATAATATTAATCTCTCTCATTTATCAAATGTTCAAGTGCTATCATGCAGTTTTTAAATACTAGGTGATACAACTGTCATATACACATGTCCTCTTCCCCATTCAGATTCAGTTCAGTTTATCTATCAGATAAATATAAACATCATAACCTATAAAAACCCAGGTTCTTACAAATGTTAATAATTCTTATAACCTTATCTCATCCAAAATACCAGTTTGCACAGCTTTGTGCATTACTCATGATTCAATCTAGGAAGACTTTACACTGTCCAAAACCTCACTGTCTCAGATTCTTTAATTTAATAATCAGATAGTACTTTCTCCTTAAAGAAGATGCTAATTAGTTAGAAACAGACTCAGTTGTTTTATACCTTTAAAAATGTGTTTGCTCTGTTGTTTAACAAGATACTGGGTTCATATTTTCAACCTATATACTAAGTTTATTTCAGATTATGGAGTCACTTCCCAGATGAGGATCTCAGTGCCCAACAAATAAAATATTTTAATCACTACTGCAATGAGATCATTCAGACAAATCTCAATCCTTCCATAAAATTCACTTGCTTCTCTGTGTAAGAACAGGAGAATGCCACTCACCACTGAATTAAGAGAGCCAATTTATGCAGTACTTTTAATTCAAAAGTTTTATTAGACATTTATATGATACCTGAAAGACAAACTACCTAGCTAAGAGGAAGAAAAAGATCCTTAGTACTGCTGCTTTGCTCCCTGTTCATTGTGCAATCCATACCATACTTCTACAGAACAGCATTTATTGAAACAAAACATAGACTGTTTAATGAACTACACTCAGTTAAAGAGCACACTTATTTTTCTCCCCAGTTCATATTGTGACACATTCCCAGGCCCAGTTGTATGATAAGGTACTCTTTATCCCTGAGATCTGTGGTATAAATGTGGGCAGGAACTTCCAGCAAGACAGTTTTTCAAACAAAATGTGTTGCCAAATTTTCTACAGTATACCATATACATCATATATACAATATATATCTGGTGTGTGTATATATATATATATATATATATATACACCTATGTGTGTGGGGTTTATATATATACACACACACAATTTTTTTTCAGCCAGAGAAAATGCATCCACCTCTATATCTGTCTCAGTCTTAGAAATACATCGACTTAATAAGGTTTTATATTTTGTTGCTTCTTTTTTAGCACAACTTAGTTATTTCTCTTTCCTCATTTTCTCTTCCTTTTTTTTTATTATTATACATTAGTGACTTATGTCTAGAAACCTAGAAATAAAGATAATCCCACTTAATTGCTTTAAATTCAGAATTGAACAATTCAGAATTGGAAAAGTGCTCTTTAACTTTTTTGAACTTTTCACTCTGCTTGAAAAAGTAGAGATTAAATGAGTAAGCTCATTTCTTATTTGGACTTTGTTATTTTCAATTCAGTCTCCTTAATTGTACAAGAAGAAATATTGTCTCCATATAAGTTCACAAGTCTCAGTGCTAGTTCTCTACTAAGAAAGACTTGGATCTAATATAAATTCTTTATTAAACAGAAATCCATATAGTGCTTCAAAGCTAAATTGATTCACATTATAAATAAGGATAAAAGTTGTTTAAAAGAATTGTTCTCTTCTGCTGCACTTTTTTATAAAGCTATTCTTTAAGAGGAAAATAAGTCTGTGTTATAACTGGAAAATTTTGTTGTATGTACTTACTACGTCTTTTCAGCTGAATGAAAAGGGTTACTAGCTCTATAGTATCGGGCCCCTCAGAAAAGTACGGTTTTCCTGCTGTGTGATAGTATAAAATAAACTCTTTTCTTTTTATTTTCTCTAAAAGTTGTTCCATTTATCAATTTTTTGTCTCAAAAACCCTGAAACCCCAAACCCCATTACTTTAATCATGCATTTCAATGAAAGAGGCAGCAAATATTCTTGGCGTGTTAATTTGAATGAGTTATGGCAAAGGTTAGTTTACCACTCCTCTGAGACTGCAGTATATACACCAATATTCCAAATTTTCTGCTTCTTAATGTTGATGGAAGTTTATTGAACTAAGACTTTGGTATCAAAAGCATGTCCTCTGCTAGAGGTATTTTATTTTCTCAGAAAATCTGTGCACCACTACTATGGTATGTGTGCATGGGAGGATGGTGTGGGTGTACATCAACTGAAAGGTCCCTGGGAGTCTTTAGCTTTACAGCTCCCTATATAGCTTAAGGGCCTCCCCCTTAGATCTTTCAGTGCTCAGTTGCCAAAATACCTCTCAGGACTTTCACTGATGGCTTAGTGGAATGCTTTCTTTGACCCAAAAGCTATTCTGAAGAAGGTTATAATACCAAAAAGTACCATTAATAAGTTTTGTGACATTTCACACTTTAGAATGAAAATATTTGCATTATAGAAGTTACAGTGTTGTATTAAAGTACTTCCAGGGTTCTGTAAATATATGACTCACTGCTCTGTAACATTTCAGTAAGAAAATGAACTGTTTGCAGCAGCTGCAGAGGCACCTTATGAGAGTTCTTGAAGCTTCTCAACAAATCTCAGAGTCTAAGCATAATTGGGAGAGTTATCACTATGGATGTATGATTGTTGTACAATCCTATAGGGTCTTGTAATCTTTCAAGATTATTTGAGACTTTTATTGATGATCTGGAAAGCAAAATGAAAAACAAAGTGGTGATGATAAATCTTTTATTGCCACGAGAACTGGAGAACTACTAAATAACAAAAAGAAGTGACAAACTAAGAAAATTTCATCTGGCAAGTGAAGCAATTGAGTGAATTTTAAAATGCATACTATAATAAAGTACAGACAAAAGTAAATTTGCAAGTCCAAATATTGTATTACATGCTCATTAAAATACAAAATATTCTGTTTCGTAAATTAATTGTGGATGTCCTCTGTAGCCAGCAGAATATGAATTACCCAGAGCAGTGTTCTAGCCAAAGATTTTAATGGAATATCTTTGGGCACAGAAATAGGAACACTAAGTCAGATTAGGGGTGTTATATTACTCCTAAATCCCATTCTCATTGTCTTTGTTCAGAAAGGATGGTCCAAAAGTGAATTTCATTAGAGTGATTAAAATGGAACCAAAAATCCTTTTGTTTTAATCATGGGGCTCATCCTTTAGTATACTCAAAAACACCTTGATCTCAAGATTTAACCAGCCTTATAAACCTTGCAAATGCCTATGTGGCAAATACAGATTTAAAAGATTTAGCAGGCCAAAGCATATGAAAATAGCAAATAATTTTTTTTTTTTTGTTTAAACATTCAAAGTGAATAAAAAAAATCTATGCTACCAGAATCATACATTTAAAAATATTCAGGTTAGTCTATATAAAAATAATTTTTCAATAATAAACAATAATTATCAACAGTTGTGGTAAAGGATTTTTTTTTTTTTTTTTTAGTTTGGTTTGTTTGGTTTGTTTGGTTTGGGGTTTTTTTTGTTTGTTTTGTTTTGGTTTGGTTTTTTTGCTTCAAATAGGTTTTGGTCTTAAAGCATGTATTAATTCAGAGGTTCAAGGACATGGTATGCATGAGGTTAAATTAAAGAATTAAATAGTCCCTTCTACCTCTTGAAAATGTATTAATTCATATAAGTAAATCTGAAACGGTAAGACTGTACTCTGTTTTGTAGTTTTCTTCTTGCAGGAAATCTAATCTCTGTTTAACAAGTGATTTAATCTCTATTGTTGTTTAACTCAGCAGGAACAGCAGACAGCTATTCACTCACTTCTCCTCAGTGGGATGAGGAAGAGAATCAGAAAAATGGTAAGCCTCATAGGTTGGGATAAAAATAGTGTAGTAGGACAGAAAAGGAATGGCAAATAATAATAGTATTGATGATGAAAGAATGTACAAAACAAGCAATGCACAATGCAATTTCTCACCACCCACTGACTAATGACCTGAGCAGTGGGCCATCAGCCCCTGGCCAACTCTCCCCAGTTTATATATTGAGTGTGATTTTGTATGGTATGGGATAGCTCTTGGGTCATTTTGGGCTCAGCTGTCACGTCTTTGTCCCCTAACATCTTCTTGCACAGCTCCAACCCTGCTCGCTGGCAGGACAGCAAGAGAAGACAAAAAATCCTTGACAGAGGACTGCTCAACAGCAATTCAAATGTTACTGTGTTATTAACATTATTCTTGTCCTACATCCAAAACAAAGCATAATACCCACTGCTAAGAAGAAAATTAACTCTATCCCTGCTGAAAAAGGACAATGTCTAATGAATGATGAACACTGAAAGGCAATAAAATTTATGTTTACATGATTGAAACTGATGTGATAAAAAAATCTAGTATCCTATTAATTTATTCTACATCATAGACTTTCATGGGAAATATGGATTTTCTATAAATTTTATTGTATTGTATTTCAATGGAAATATCTTGATGCTCTGCTGTAGTTTAGTGTGAACTAAGATCAGTCATAGTATTTCCTCTTTCATTTATATGCACACAAGTACTTCTGGAGGGAATCTTAAAGGAGCTCAGCAGTGAATCCAATTTAGCTAATCAAGTCAAATCCAGAAGAATTATTTCTAGAAGTATTACTACCTTGAACTCTTTCAAATGAGAGGAATAAACAGCTAATTTTTTTATCTCTGCTTAGCATTACATACCCAAATACTTAGAAATCAGCATTTCCTTTGGTTATCTCTAAAAAAACTGTTCATACATCTGTACCCCAGAATGTCCTGCAAGGCTTCATTTCCCTAACAAAACTGTGCATTCCAAATTAGAAGTCCAGTTTATAT